TCTCTGCACGGCAGTTAGAAACTGCTGCGCGGGGGTTTCTTGCCATGTGCGCAGCCGCGCAGCCGCGCACCTTAGAGGGAACAGTGGTACCAACACGTCTCTCTTATTAAATTGGAACTTTGATGAAAGCTCTGCCCTGGACTCTGATTTAATTCTGGATGATATTTGGAACGCTGACAACAATAACATTAAGCATAATTATCTTCCTCATAATACTAACAATTATCATCTTGTTTATACCTTGATCTTAACATATTTTCTATTCTTCTTTTATTTCCAATTTATCTTTTTTCCTTCTAACCATTGATAAAATATTTCCCATATATCATATCATATTCAGTGTGTTCTTTCTCTTTAGCCCTAGGGGCAGAAACCTGGGAAGCAGCATTTCAAATCATTTCAAAATTAATTAAATGATTAATTCTCTAAAAATGAGAACATTCCTCTTACTATCTCCAGGATTCCTGTGTCTACCCACCTACACCATTAGAGACTTTCCTGAAATCTGTGTTGTTTTTCTGTAAGGGTGGAGAAATACCTTGGCTATCCAAGACCAATAAAGATGCCACATTGAAAGGCTAATAAAGGAAAGTCCTTCATTAGAGTCAATCTGCTACCAGTTTTATCTGGTGTGGTTGGTGTGCAGGACTCTCATCAGCGTAAGAACCCTTCAGAGATATTTTCTTGAGGTTTCACACTTCAAATGGCAAAAGAGAGCTCACATTTCCTTGCGATTATTAGTGTTAATCTATTTATTTCTGCACATTCCAATATTTTCCTAATCACCTTCTCATCAATAGGAATCTCCTCACTTTTCTAATGTTGTGTAAATACAATTTTAGCTGCAGTTAATGCATGGATCATTAAATAGGTGTTCTCTTTATTATAAGTTTCAAGTAAAATACCCAATAAGGAATTCATTAATATTAGTATGGGAGAAAATAAAAGATCAACATTATTTGAGGATGCCAATTTGGCGTTATAAAGAAGTAACAGAATTATATAAAATAGTAACTGGAACAGAAGAAAGATTGATAAAGAAATTGTATAGTTACTTATTGGGTATAAAGTTAGAAAAGGAACAAGTAAAAGAAACAATGATAGCATGGGCAAAAACATTTGGTCACATGATAGAATTAAATAAATGGCACAAACTATTGGGAAGGAATTATAATTTAATGATGTCAACTGCATATAAAAATAATTTTTGCAAACATTGTAAGTATGAAAAATGGTTGTATGTCACTTTTCAGTGCTGTTGTAACTTTGAATGGTCACTAAATGAACTGTTATAAGTCAAGGACTACTTCCAGTTCTCTTTCAGGATCTCTTAGGAGCATTTCTTTTTTGCACATGTAGTAGTGCTCATTGCCGCATCTCATTGACATGGCTGTGACATCGTTGCGCAAATACGCACAATTGCCTCCATTTCCCTTGATTTCCATCCTGTAATAAAAGCAGAAATTAGGTGGTGGAGATAATCTCCCACCTTACCAAAGGGGTCCTGAATTTGCAGTTCATCTAGCAGAGCCTTGTCTGGCCTGGTACCCTCTAGAAATGCTGGACTGGACTATAGCCACTATATTTCCTACCCTTGGACACAAAGACTGAGAATATTAGAAGTTGCAAAGCAACCTAATCAGAAGGCACCACGCTGGGAAACTCCAAAGTAGCTTACTATCTGCTGTAGTAGACAATAGATACTATATTATATAGTAAAATAGTTAGTAGATATTACTATCTACTATCTAATAGCAGCTCTCAAAAGTTATTCAGGAGGTTGTCTATCCCACGGATTGACTTGGGGACATTAGGACAGGACCTGGATACTATGTGCTGTTCCTTACAGCTTCCTTTCCAGTTTTATTTCCTGTGTAAATTAAATTCAATCTCTACAGAGATTCTCAGTCATGCATAAAGTGACCAGATTTTAAGATGGGTAAAGCGGGATACCATTGATGGGGGAGGGGGCTCGGAGCACCTGAGCTGTAAAAAAAAAAGCCTTCCCCCAATTGCCTTCCCCCAACGGCCCCCAACCCTTTCAAAAGCCACCCCCATCGCCAGTCTCTCCCAACTGGATCCCCGCTTGTCTCCCCTCGGCTCACCCGGATCAGGTTGCTGACGGCAGCTTGCACAGCATGGCTGCAGGGAGAACGGCGCCCGAGAGAA